GCGTGTGTGTATAGTATTATTGCAAGATTTTCTTAGACTTGCCAACTTGTGACTCTCATTTTGAAGAGTTCTAGGCCTTGCATTGCCACACTTTGCCACACATTTTTTTAAGTTTGCCTAAGATTAGTTTATCAAAATAAAAGCCACAAGTTGGCAAGCCTAAGAAAACCTTGCCACACTTTTTGTGTGTATGCCATGTGGGGCCCTAGTGTGGCTTGCTTAAGATGTGGCTTGAATCAAACACTCACCTAAGTTAGTCAAATTTGCCTAAACTTAGGTGTGACAGTCTTGGACAAAGTTAGTCACGAACCAAATAGCCTCAAAGTTACGTACTCCTAGAAACAAAGTTATATAATTAATCATCATGAGGTAAATCCCTAAAAAATATCACGAGATAAAAAAAAAGTAAAAGCATCGAATCGAGCCATGTGTGTTCCAGGTTCACGGGCGGCGCCTCCACTCCGTTCCATTCCAAGCAGGGCGCCGAGATGAGCCGCCGCCGCAGCCCACGCCTGAATCCCCACACCCACACCAGCCAGGCCAAGGCGAACGCCGGAATGGCCATCCGCCGTAGCCTGCGGCTCCACCACCAAACCCCCGTGAGCATCGGAGTTACCCGCCGACGCAGCTCGCGGCTCAACCCCCAAATCCACATCGGTGAGGAGGGCGCCGGGTTGACCCGCCGGCGCAGCATGCGGCTCCACCGCCAAGTCCACGCGAGTGAGGAGGATGGCGCCGTAGTAGGCCTCCGTCGCAGCCCGCGGCTCCACCCACAGATCCCCGTGATCGAGGAGGACGCCGGAGTCACCCGCCGACGCAGCTTGCGGCTCAATCCCCAAATCCTCGCGAACGAGGAGGGTGGCGCCGTGATAGGCCTCCGTCGCAGCCCGCGGCTCCACCCCCAACTCCACAGGAGCGAGGAGGGCGCCGGAGTGACCAACCGCCGCAGCACGCGGCTCCACCCCCAAGTCCACTCGAGCGAGGCGGGCTCCGGAATTCCACGCCGTCGCCGCCGCGGCGGTGCCTCTCCGGCTGCGCCTGCCTCCCTGCCGGACGACGACGATATGCTCCGGGAGATCCTCATGCGCCTGCCGCCTCAGCCGTCCTCTCTCCCGCGCGCCTCCGCCGTCCTCTCTCCCGCGCGCCTCCGCCGTCTGCAAGCGCTGGCTGCGCGTCGCCACCGACCCCCGGTTCCTCAGCAGCTTCTCTGCCCACCATCGCAAGCCACCCCTCCTCGGCGTCTTTGAGAGAGACATGTACAACATCGTGTTCACTCCCGTCCTGGACCCTCCCAACCGCATCCCTCCTGAAAAGTTCCACACTCGGCGTCAGATCCATGGCTTCCAAAAGGCCGAACTGCTCGGATGCCGCCACGGCCGCGTCCTCCTCCTGGAGACGGACTGGTTCATTGTGTGGGACCCCATCACCAGTGAGCATCACCGTGTGGACATTCCACCAGGGTTCGATGAGTTATGCTACTTCTATGGGGCTGTGCTCTGCGCTACCGCCCATCAGGTGCACGGTAGCTGCCACTCCAGCACCTTTAATTTGGTCTTGATGTCCCCATGCCAAGGCCATCAAGCCGGTACTCCACCCATCGCTTGTGTATACTCCTCGGAGACTGGGCAATGGGACAATCTCATCTCAACAGCCGATCGATGTGAGTTTGTTAACTGTAATCCTGGGATCCTTGTTGGTAATGTCCTTTACTGGTCGTCTAAGAGGGTGAGGGCCCAATCAAATTATTTGAATTTGGATGAGCTGGCAGATGACATAATTGAGTTTGATTTGGATAGGCATAGTCTTGCTGTGATCAAGGGCCCTCCAGGTCTGAATTATTCCACCACGCATCAGATAATCAAGGCAGAGGATGGTGCTCTTGGTCTTGCCATATTGTCTCATGGTACATTCGAAATGTGGCAGAGAAAGGTTGGCTATCACGGTGGTGCCACATGGTTCCTGCACAAGACCTTTGAAATGCATACTGTTCTTGGGCTCCCTCCCCAGGTTGAAGGATCGGTGAGAGGGGTCGAAATACTTGGGTATGATGAGGAAAATGGTGTAATGTTTTTATTTCTGGACGACAATGTCTACATGGTTGAAGTGATGTCAATGAAATCCTTGGAAATTTATCAAAGCAGTTATCAAAGTTATGCCAATGACATTCATCCTTTCGCAAGTTTCTATGCACCAGGTGACTGCTCATCCTTAGTCCTTGTGTTGTGGTAGTAACCAAATCTAGTAATATTCTAGAATACCTTCGTTGTGCTTCCCCAATGTTCATTAACAACTTAAACTTAGTTAGAAATTGTTCCTTCACTAGTTGGACAAACTTGTATCTGTACTGTGTTTTTATGTTTTTGCTCTTCAGAGATACCAAATCAAATGTCAAATGAGTAACTCAGCTGGTCTGCTGTGTCCTCTAAGCTAGTTATGTTTGTTTGTCGGGTACCATCTGTTTTGGTCTTGATTAATGTTATCTCCATAACAATAACTTCTCCTTAATCTATACTTTCTGAAATAATAGGTTTTTGGGCACTTGTTGAAGGTCCCTTCTGCAAGTGACTAGTACACTTGTATGCCACACAAATAAACTGGATTTCTTGTCTCTAGTAGGCTAGATTCATTTATAGCTGAACACCAAAAAAATCACTGTTGTTTCTAGAATTTATTAGTTTGGGCATGTTTTGATTTTTGTATGCTTGATATATTGGATTAATTTTAGGCATTTTTTCTTATGAGCTAAAGCTTTCATTATGATGTAGCTTAATATTACTGTTCTCAGGAATGGTCTTCACATTTTAAAACAGATGTCATCTTGTTTATATATTGTTAGCATCAAAAGTGGGTTATAAATATCTATAAAAACTGTGAGAGCTAATGCTTGGTGCTTTATCTATGTAACTGAATCACTATTGCCTGACTTCTTATGCTTCTGGGCGTAGCCATTCCTGGTGGACGCGATGGAGCTGGGATACTGCAAGATACGTAGGATGGCTGTCTGGTCTCGTGTGGTAATATGCTGGAATGGTCCTAAAGGTAACATCTTTAGGATATAGTTTGTGAGATCTGGATTATTTGGTTTTTTTGTATGGAAGATTTCTGGCTGCCAATGCAGGCAGCCTGCATGACACAAACTATTGCCCATTCGGCTATAGGGATTCATGCATGTCAATAGCACATACACAAATTTTAAACGATGATGACGTCAAGGCAAAATGACTGTCCCTTTTGGGTCGTAACTCGTAAATGATATCCAGATGTTGCACATAGTGTTGTTGCTGTTAATATTACCTGCTTGTGCCTGTTTGGCCATGCTAGAGTTTTCCCCTGGTTTTGCTACTTCATAGTCAGCTAGCTGAAAGCAAGACATTAGTAGCATTTTTTGAAAAAGAAAAGCCAATAGTATGCCCAAAATGCATGCTTAGGGGAACTTCTCCTATGAAGAGCAATGTAGATAAAGAAAAAAAAGCATATATGGATTCCCTACTACTAGCTGGACACCAAATATGTGACAAAACCAATAAGATCTGTTTGATTTTTGTCTACGTACAGGCATAGTTAAAAAAAAGGCACGCCTAGGCTCTAGGCGATAGAAAAATGCCTAGCGCTTAATATGTGCATAATTACGCATAAGCGTGCACTTTGGTCAGAAAGCACAAGGCAGTGGCAAAACGAACAATTAACGGCTAGCGCTTTTTTTCTTAACTACGTATGCAGGCGACACGGTGTATCATTGACATCAGAATATTCATACTAAAACAAGTGATTTACCTCGATGATAACTTTCGTAGACTTCTGCCCAATCTTTGACCTTAAATCAGAGCATGGTCCCTTGGGCTTGTTTGTTACTGGCTCATTCAAACCATCATCTGCAATTATTTTATATATTTTTTATGGAGGCTAGATTTGCACTTGGCACTAAATATGCTGAATAACCATTTTGTCGAAATAAACATTTCTGCATCATGAACATGTTAGGCAAATCAGAATGGGATTTCCAAGGCCCATAATTCAGAAAATGTAAAACTTCATTACATTACCTGGTGAACACAGAAAAAAGGTATCTTCACATGTCAGAGCACTCTATAACATGGCCAATCAAAATCAGTAGAAACAAGGGAGATGTTTACCATCTTCATCAACGAAGCCTTCAAAGTATTCTGCTCTTTAATTTCACCCATCTCGATATCAGCACGTTCAGCATACTCGTTCACCTTCATGTATTGGCAAGTGAATCTACACAATATACGGGAAAGCTTGTGAGCAGTGAGAACATAACAACGTTAGCGTAAGTCTCATACTCGGCACTGCTTACTTCTTCGGTTCTTCCTATTCTATCTCAGGTGCCACGTCATCTTTTTCCATGTCAAGGATTGTATCAAAGTGATTGAAGGGGTCATTATAAATGTCACCATAGACACCTTTCCTCAGACTTCCCTTTGGTTCGCTTTCAGCACTGACTGATAGCAGGAAGATGTTCAAACATGGGAATGTAATCAATGTATGATAGACGAGCGATAGAGATTATCAGAAGAAGAATAAAATGGCCTTCTCTAGTTGAGCAGCCTTTTCAGCTTTCTCTAATCTCCGGAGATTGCGCTGAGTGTTCTTCCAGGGGATTGTCATTATCTTCTCTGTAACAGACAATAAGAATATCTGGCTGCCAGCGCATGCAGCCTGCATCCCATGAACTATTTCCCATTCGGCTATAGGGATTCATGCATGTCAATAGCACACAAACAAATTAAAAACAATAGTGACGCCAAAGGCAAAATGACTGTCCCTTTTGGGTCGCAAATGATATCCACGTGTTGCATATAGTGGTGTTGCTGTTAATTATATATTACTGCCTTCTGCCTGTTTGGGCATGCCTAGAGTTCTCCCTTGGTTTTGCCAGAGTTAGCTAGCTGAGAACACGACATTAGTAGCATTCAACTATCTCACCCAAATAATGTACATTGTCAAAAGGCTTCAATGGTGTAATTCGCTGTCATTTGTAATCCTAGGAGATATAGGGAAGAGTATGATATCTGTTACGTTTTACGAGCTTGCACACACATCTTGCCATAGGCTTTTTTAACCGTGTATGCTGCATACACATCAGGTTCTGCATGTATGTATACTATATTTACTAACGGATTGGCAATTTTGTTGTCTGCAGGTGAAGTAGTGTGCTGTTGCCCCTAGTCCCTACCGAGTTTGTCGCGTTCCATCAATGTGGTCGGCAGTGTATACGTTATGTGGAAGAAATTGCTGAGCATGTGCCTTCGTTGAGTAAGTTTGTAATGTGACAAGATGCATTTTAATACCTAAACGAGGGAAGTAGTTCAGTTTCCCCAAGACATCATAGTTCACTTCAGATTCCGTTGCAATATCTTCTTTTACATGGTTGTGCTTGGCAGATCTTTATTTGTAAGCACACTAGTATGCACCCCGTTTAAGTATGAACTGTTTAATTTCCGTTTTTATTAAGTATGAACTCTGGTATGTAGTAAGAACTTCGGCAAGCTTTTATGTATGAACTCCGGTGATCTAGTTTAAGCGCGAACTGCAAGTTTGAATATGCGGTATATGTTTGAAGGATCTATTCTGGCTCAGCGTCCGGCGTCCTGCAAAATTCGTTTCCGGGATACCGTAAACGATTTTTCCGGGATGGCTGTTTACTGATCTGCTAGAGATGCTCTTATACCCTTGATGTTTCCGACGATGACTAAGGACTTCCAAATGTTTTGCCTTTTGCCTGTCCTTCAACCCGACCTGCATTGATGTTGTCCTAGCAACAACTAAAGCATCAAAGGGACGGGGAAAACAATACACTGGTAGCTCGGGCTACATGGAATTGATCCAGGCTACCCTTAGGGGTTGGGGTGGTTTTGTCGAGCCAGCAATCTATTGTAGGTTCTGATTAGGCTAACAAGTATCAGTTAAGTTCATGATCCTTCCCAAGCCTAATGGTATACGAGCATGCCCCCTGCCCCCCCTCCAGCTCAGCCAACCAGTTTGGTGTATAGTGATCTCTACCTAAATTACACAAAAAACGTAACATGAGAGGTCATATATATACCATCCTAGCTTAGGATGGACGTATTTACACGCCACTTTAATATCAAGATTGCCATTGGTGGCCGCCCAAAGCCAGTGAGATTGAGTAAAGTGGAGGCGTCCTTTGCTGGTAAACAACCATCGATCTTTATTGAGCACTCAAGACAATACAATCACTTCCATCCAAGAATAAAAGGTTCCGAAAATTACACAGTTCATCGAGTGTTCCATTGATGTATAGAAGTTAACAAGAGTTGTTCAAAAAGAAAAGTTAATAAGATGTATACGAACTTGAGATTTGCATTGTACACATTTTAAAAAAAAAGTGCAAGACACAATAGATATGCTTTGGGTCCAAACTTTAGACCAGTTAGAAAAAATATGGTTTGGGCACAAATTTTGCAAGCTTCTCGTTGGTGGTCGTAGAGATACAGTTCCAAAAATCTTACCGTAAAATGGATCCCCCATTTATTTTGAGTAAAATACACCACAAGTCCTAAAACTATTCAGAGGGTGTCAAGTTAGTTCTAATACTACGAAAATGCTCATATGAGTTCCAAAAGTTTGCTAAGTGTGCCACCTGCAGTTCTATCCGCGCAGGTTCTATCTGTGTTGCATCATCTTTGACTCACACAGGTGGCAGGTTGACTATTGCCATGTGGCAACATTTCTTATAGACCACCCCAAAATGTCCCCTCTTCTAATTTTGTAGCCTTCCTCATTGCACAAAACCTACGTGGATTCCGTCTACTCATCAATCTGCCCAAGCCATCCATCCCATTCCCCTGATTCTCTCGCACGATCTGGTCGCCACCATCCCGCATCTACGTCATCGTTGGCCTTGCTCTCCCACGCGACGGCCCCAGACCCCTTCCCCATGCGGCGGCGGCTGCCTTTCCCGAAGTGCACGGTGACGGCAGTGCAGGTAGGAGGGCGGCAGTGGCAGCAAGCAGCAGGCAGGCTTCGGCCTCAGTCCTCCTTCCACCCCGACACTAAAGTTTAAACAACTTCGTCCCCAGCTACTCCCCAGCATAGATGATTCTCCCTGAGCAGCGAAGTTAGATGTGTCAATGGTTCCAGCACATGTCGCAAAGGTTCATCACGTTCATGATGTTCAAGTTCCGAGGTGGACTGTGGCTGTTGGAGGAGGGGAGGAAGGAAAGGGAAAGGATGTATGCAAGGAGAAGGGCCACAAAATTAGAAGAGATGACCGGGGGCTGTGCAAAAAAAAATAAAAATGCCGCATGTCAGTAGTCAACCCGCCACCCGTGCTAGTCAAAGCTGATGCAACATGGATAGGACTGCAGGTGACACACTACCAAACTTCTAGGAGGACTAAGTTGACACCCCTCGAATAGTTTTAGGACTTGTGTATGTTACTCTTTAATTTCTAGCGCACTAATTTCAGTCGCATAGGCACTAATTTCTACCAGAGTTTGTCTGGATAAGAAAGATTATACTACATGGCACCACCATAGGATCAATTGGATGTAATATAAGACCACATTTGGATCAAACATTGTCTAGCCGCTGAAATGACTATTCTGACTGTGCTCACCCAGCATGCCGCTTTTCTCCTAGAATTCAGTTAGTTCAGACCAAATAAGTTCCATTTTTCCTCTCTCTAATATGATAATCCGCATATCACTCAGGCAGGCCCAGACTTGCCCAGATTAATCTCCTGCTATTAATCTCAGGGACAAAAAGAGCACCAGCAGATCATAACCACAGTGCATCGACTGTGATGGTATACTTTTCATACCACATCTGAGAAGAATACACAAGCATATAAATTTAGGCGATACTTGGGCCCGAAACACACATTGCTGAAGAGAAGAGCTGCCAAGCACTACCAGTCTACCATACAAAGGAAACAAGATATGACTGAAATCCGACTTGAAATGTTACTTGGGGAAGCTGAACTTCCCTGGATTAGGTATTCAAAAG